GTGAAAATTAGAGTCACTCACTCTCCAATAATAATTTTACACAAATGAAAAGGCAAAGGAACAACGTACAAATATCAGTCACATGATTCTCCTACATTATCGTGATTTCTATCAAAAAAAAATTTTCACATCTTTAATCTGAAAGAATGTCGTTCGAGAATGCAGACTTTACTCAAATTCTAGATGACCTATCAAGGTATATTATATTATTTTGTTAATTATTCATCGTGTGCAACAATTGTAAAAGATTATTGAAAATCCTTTTTATAGTCGTTTTATAATAAATGTCCCCGAAGAGGAATTGTCTTCCATAGAACGTATCTGCTTTCAAATCGAACAGGCTCATTGGTTCTATGAAGATTTTGTTCGTGAACAAAATTCAAGTCTACCCAGCTTTACATTAAAAGGCTTTTCTGCAAGATATATCCTTTTTCTTTCCAAATACTTGTCACAATAATTATTTCACTACAACTATATTTTCAACTTGACTCTAATAACACTTTTTGATCATTGTCCATTGCTTTACAAATGGAGAAATGAGCATGAAAAGGCGTTTGGGGATTTCATGCAGTATAAAATAAGGGTTCCAGTATGCGGCGCAATAATGTTAAATCTTACTATGGATAAGGTTCTATTGGTAAAAGGTTGGTCATCACGATCAGGTTGGGGTTTTCCAAAAGGCAAAATAAATAAAGATGAACTTGATTCAATTTGTGCCGTTAGAGAGGTACGTCAATACATACATACATGAATGCATAAATATTTATTTAGAGAAAAATAATCTCTTATATCAATATAATTAGGTGTTTGAGGAGACTGGGTATGATATCACACCATTGATTAAAGAAAATGATTTTGTTGAAATAACAATTCGTGGCCAAAGGATCAGACTATATATAGTGGCTGGTGTACTAGAAGGTGCTAATTTTTGTCCACAGACACGTAAAGAAATCAGTGTAAGTTATTGATCAGTTATATTGTTGTTCAATAATAAGAACATATGTATGTATGTATCATTATTGATATTTTAAAAAAATAATAGAAAATAGAATGGCATAATCTTTCAGATTTACCCACTTGGACAAAAAATCGTAATAAAGAATCACCTTATAATTGTGGTGGTGGTTGTGTTAAATATGGTAGCAGTAGATATTACATGGTTGTTCCATTTGTTACGTAAGTAAATAAAGCTTTTATTGATATATATATATATATATACATATCTTCTCCTAAATTTTTTTTAATAGCTTTTTTTTAAAAAAAGTCGCTTACGAAAATGGGTATCAACACAAAAGACTTGTAAAAATAAAAACAAAAATAATAATAGTAATATAGGAAGGAATAAGAAATCATATTGGTTAGATGATAACAATTATGCTATAAAACCCTCGCACGAATCAGCAATCATTTGTTCTGAAAGTGATGGCATAGAAGAGGATGAAGAGGACGAAAATTTGGCTTTTATTGATGATCATGGTCATAACATAGAGGATGAAAACTCAATATTTGATCATACAACATTTATTTATCATAATATCAATAGCAACAATGGCAACAGTAATAATTACAAAAATAATTCATCCGATAATTTTGTTGATAATAAAAAAGGTAAAGCTAAGGCGGATTTAAATTATACAAAAAATACAAGATCAAACCATGCTACTAGCACCAGTAATACTACCTTTAGTGATTTTTATGAAACAGCAAGAACCAGTAATAATAATAATAATAATAATAATGAAACCACTAAATATGAATTGATTAATGTAAACACAAAAATGAATTTAAGATTTCGACCAATCAGGATTTCTCTGACTCCTCATGCATTTGGTGAAAAGAATCATCAACCATCTAAAGATGATTTTGCTAATAATGAAAATGATAATAAGGACGATGGTAGTAATAATAATAATGATAATGCTAATGATGATAATAATTTAATAACTAATGACAACTCTGAATATAAGCTCATCAAAGTAAATACCAAATTAAACCTAAAGCCTATATCAGTTAAAGTTGATTTTGGTAAATTAAATAATAAAAACAACATTAATAACAGCACAGTCGCCGCCGCCGCCGCCACTAATGATAACAACGGTAATAATAATAATAGCGGTAGTATTAGCAATAATAATATTACTATTTCAACTCCAATTTCTGTTCAAACTAATCATAGAATACCTTTTGCTAAACTGGATCCTGACCGATCATTATTTGATCATAACACCTCGGTTGGTTTATACGAGCCTGTTATCTCTGATTATAATAAAAGAATCATTGTCAAAAATCAAAATGTTGAGACAGCCACTACCACAATTACAGCACCCAATAACAATAAAACATTTGTACCATCAATATTTAATAATTTAGAAACTCAACGAAAGAATTCATTGCTCAATATACTCCAATCGACTAAATCCATGGAATCCTCATCGTCATCGCTAGCAACATTGTCATCTAATTCAGCAGCAGTAATTGATAAACAATTGGAAAAACATTACAAGTCAACAACCGTAATAATATATTTTTTTGATCTAATTTATTTTTGTAAAGTTTTATTCAACATATATTCATCTGTCGCTCTCTCTACATAAATATATATATCTCTCTTTTTAAAATATCAACTTTTCTCTTCCTCTCTTATTTATTCATTCATTCTCTACAATCATTCAAATCATTTCTAAATTATTAATTATTCCCTAGGAAAATAAAATAAAAAAAGATTAATAAAATAAAATGAAATACGCAAATAAAATAAAGGAATAAAATAATATGAATTAAAAAAATAAAATAAAAAATAGTTGTAAAATATAAAGATTATAAAGTATAAAAGTATATATAAAATATTATAATTATATAAAAAAAAATTAATCCAAATAAAGAAAGACGAGTAAATAATATTTTTTGTATATATTGATTATAATTTGTTGAATGATGTTTTGAGTCTATTGTTGTTGAATAATGCTGAAATAAACATATTTATTATTATTCATCTGCAAAAAAATATTGTTTCAATTAATTTATCCAAATCCAATAATATATAATATATTGATATATTCTCATTCACTAAACTAAAAAATCCAAGTTTCTTTTTTTTTTAAAAAAAGTATTCCCTAAAAAATTATTTTGTCAAAACAATAATAATAATCTTTTAAAACAATTAATTAACTAGAAATATGTTACACATGATTGATTTCTATTTCCAACTAAAATTTCCAATTTCCAAATAAAAAGAGAGAGAGAGCATTATATATGTATAAATCATCGATGAGAATAAGGGGGACTTGGGGTGCGACCACCAGATCTGTAATTTGGGCTAAATCCTCTCATTCCAACAGGCGAGCCACCACCGCCACCGCCACGACCATCTAAATAAAAATGAAATAATCAACTCAATCTAATAATTCTTGTATATTATTTTTTCACAAATAATAAATATAACAGTACATACATGGATCAGAAGAACGACTATGAAAAACAAAACCAATGTTTTTTGTTAGAAATTGTGTTATTTTTTTAGAAAAATTATTATAATAAAATTAAAAGAGCACACATACTCGCCGGGTCCATATTTATCTTTACGACGTTGATCTTTCTTACTCAATCCAACATCCCTTTTTATATTATTGTTGTTGTTGTTGTTATTATTATTGTTATTACGAATCTCGAAAAAAAAATTTTTAATTAAAAAAATAATATACCAGTCTAATTTTAATCGACGTCCTTCAACATTAGTACCATTATATTTATCAAAGGCATCTTCGGCATCTCTTCTATCTTCAAACTCAACAAATGCAAAGCTGATAATAATTTTTTTTTTAAAGTAAATTTTGCAATTAATATCACTTACTATTAATTAATATATATATATATATATATAATTATATGAATTAATAAATAAATTTCTTTAATTACCCTTTGTTTCGTCCGGTATAATGATCAGTTTGAACGGTTACTTTTCTTAGACGACCATATCGTTCAAACATATCAGCTACATCTTGTTCATGAAAAGAATAAGGTAGATTACCTACATAAAGTGTTGTTGAATCTCTTCTTTCTTTTTCAGATCCACTATTATTTTATAGTCATCAACAACATTGTCAAAACAAAATATATTATTATTAGATATTATCAAAAGCTCTTGAAAGATCCTGAAAATTATTTATCATTAGTCCGTTCAAACTAACTGCAATCCATTCATCATTTCACTAATTCAATCATTCCGCTTCAACCAAAATCCAATCCAAATCATATTCATATTCATATAAATATAAATATATTGCATGTTATATTAAATTCATATTAAACACCTCTACAAATAATTACCGATCAATAGGTTTACTCCTTCTTGGTGGGCCTCTTCTTTCAGGTGGATATGGATGGTCACGGTAACCTCTATCATCTCGATATCCACTTCTACCGTAACTACGATCATATTTATCGTCCCTAGCGTATCGATCATCTCTGTATCGGTCATCTTTACCATTACGATAACCACCTCCTCTAGGCGATTGGCTTCTACGTCTTGGTGGGGAGTAAGATGAATGACGATAACCACTGCCGCCTCCTTCTTTTCCACCACTACCGCCACCACTTCTTGGTGAAATAGAGCGATCTTTCCTTGAGCTACTGTTGTAAGCATGGCTGCTAGCAGCTGATTCAGGAAGTTGTGTTGTAGGTAGAACAGAAGGTTCTGACCTAGAAATTCCGTTTTGTGGGTCCATTTTTATTTTTTAAAGGAAAAATTTTTGTTTTTCTATTTTTTTGTTATTGTATTAAAAATGAAAATCTAAAAGGTTCTATTTGGTGCAACTATATTAATACGGTACACTAAAATGACAGATTTGGGAATTGTGAAAAATGCAATCAAATTTTTATTTTTTATTTAAAAAATATACATGATGATGACAACGATTAAAATTTTCGCAATTAATTATCTAAATATTGATAATGAGAATAAAAGGATGAGTGAGGAGGGAAAATAATTTTTTTTAAGAAAATTATATTTGAGTTGTTATCCATTCAAGTAATTGTCTTTCTTGTGCCCTTATTTCTTCATAGAGCGCATTATTAGCAGAAGTGCCTTGAACTGATTGGGAAGTTGTCATGAGGTTTAATAATCTATTGTCATTGTTTTTATTATAATTATTATTATTGTGATAGTTGTTTGTGCTATTGTTGTTATTATAAAAAGAAGATGATTCCAAAGATAGTTGATGATGACGATGTTGTTGATTTGTTGAATTAAGATTATTACTAGCATTGAAATTATTAGTATTAGGATATTGAAGTATATTATTATACAATGGTATGTTGTTTGAAGTATTATTATTATCATTATTATTATTATTATATTCTATATTATTACTAATTTTTTGGTTTTTATATTCTATATTATTATTATATTCTATATTATTATTACTATT